CTGTAATAGCTGAACCTGTCTCCTCGTCAGTCACTTGCATGACCGCTGCAGCTCTGCTATTGTGCGTCCACACCTCAGCGCTCACCACATTGCACCTTAAATCGGTGAGCACTGCACTCACTTCAGATAGCAAGCCCGGACGATCTGTCCCGGTCAGCTCGATCGATGTGTGATCGGAGGAAGGTGTGAAACCTACAGATTTCCTCCGGGATGGTACAAAAGAAGAATCCTCCCCCAGGGACTATAAAGAAAGCTTGGACTTATCAAATGCACTTGGTAATAAAAACAAAACAAAGCATGAGAATGGCATGAATCCTCTACCTTGCGAATGAAATTCTTTATTTTATCCAGATCCTTTTCTTTCTCGATTTTATTTCCATCTCGATCCCTCACATTAAATACTGTGGAGATTCAAGAAGTTTATTTCCGATCAGTAGAGGCTACCCAAGTTGAAGCAGTACAGAAAAGACAAGAGTCACAGACCAAGAAGAGCTATGAAACCCATGACATACCATCCATAAACCATCCTCCATCGGAGGATATATAAGCTTTAGTGATGATGAGATTTAGGTCCATAAGGACCTGAACAACTTCCAAAAGGATCCCATACTTATTTGCGCTATCAACCTATGACAATTACAAACAAGCAAAACCATGGTCATCGTCGAACACAAACCCTGATGCGAACTCCAAGAGATACTTACCAGGGAAATAATCGAAACTTACCCTAATGACGGTCGCATTTGCGCAGGAATCGTTATCCACAACAACCCTAAGGAGAGGAGAGGAGAGGAGCAGATGAGGGAATCAGAAAACTTGAGGATCAAAAGAGGGGAAAACAAGACTAATTATGTGGCGAATCCGGAACGAAATCATATACCTAGGAGGGTTCATCCTTCGGATAAACTTCTCGTATTCATCGTCGCTGTCCCACGAGGAACTCAAATCTCCATCTGTAAAAATAGATCGACATTTCTCGGAGATCAGCAAATTCGTACAGCCAACATGTTGTTTCTTTCCCATCCAAGAAGAGACTTTGCAGCCAACGAAAAGAGCATGCGATTCAGGGGGAACAAAAACAAAGAATTCGATCGGGGAAACAGAGATCCCGCAAACAAACAGGCAAACCAGATAGGGATTCCCGCAGAAGAATCAAACCCTAACTAAAGCCGACCATGTCGAACTCGGAAGAATCAACCCGACCAAGAAAAGACAAAGGTGCAGTCAAGAACCAAAACGGAAACCAGAAATGGAGATGGAACGAGGATGTGAAAGAGAGAAAAGGCTTGGAGGAGACGAACCCATGATTTGTCCTTCCTCTCCTTCTTCCTTCCTCCACAGTGGCGGCGATGCTGGCGGCTGCTGCGCGTCGCGGGAAGAGGACGTTACCAAACGAGGGGAACCAGTGCTCGCTCTCCCTCTCTCTCTCCCCTCCTCTAAAAGGCCGGAAGGCCGAAACGGCGCACCTTAGCGAACACCCACCCACACCCGACGCACACTACACTAAGCATGCATAAATACGTACACGTATACGTATGCCGTATTGTTCTTGTTTTACGAGGCACCGTTCTCATTATTATGTATTTATTTATACTAAAAATGCCTCTGAAACAAGAACATATAAAGTAATTATTTTCAAAATAAATATTAAAAATCACAGAAAAATATAAAAACAATTTTCATTTCAGATAAAAATTCATAATTTGTTAGGTTGGATGAAACACACCTTTTTTTCTTAATTTTAAGATCAGAGTTGTGCAATCTCATACTATGTATTATTATTATTATTATATGAAAACACCTCATTTCATGATGGAAAAATATTATAATTTTCTTGTCCAAAATACCTTTGAAAACATTTATTATCATTACATTGGAAATGATTTAAGGAGAGTGGGAGACTAGTCCAAGTTCAACGAGAGTAGGTGGGTGAAGAAGGTGGACACCTAATCAACATTATTATTGTATAATGAGAAATCAAAGAAAAATAACATAATATTAACTTTGTGAAGTTGATTAAAGAAGTGTTGTTACCTTTGTAGACCAAATCCATATTGTTTCCACATAACGAAATGGTATTATCTTCCACTAATTGACATAATCTTGTGTGATTAACAATTGAGGTTTTTGTTGTCTTATACAGCCTCAATTTTGCACCAATCTTTCTCAAGTGAAACATTACATATTTGAGTCTATATAACCCACTTAAAATCGATTCATGTATCTTTTAAATGGGTTTCTTTGGTGGGTTTGATTCCAAAGGATCCAACTTAGCGTTTTAATTGGCATATTATGTCTGTTAATTATAGATGGTGATCCAACATGACTGTTGCATGGATTCATCATGTTTATAATGGGCCAAATGTTCATAATGGGCTGAGTCCTAAAGCCTGAATTATGATAAGGGTTTGATATTTTTGTAGTTATTAGATAAAAAGATAATTTATTGTGATGCTAGATAAAAAATTAGGCTAATCATGTATTATCTCTTATAATTAATTATATTTAATATTTTAATTATTATTCTTTTAAAAATTATATTGAGATTTCTATATTTATGAAAGTGAAATATTTAATGTTGTTTCTCCTCACGTTGTGATTTTGTTTCTGATTTTGTCTCATTTTAGTTTACCACTAAGTATATGAAGATAAATAAGATTAAATATTTTACTTTTATAAATATAATGATTCCAATATAATTTTTGAAAGTGTAGATATCGAAATATTAAAAGTAACTAACTTCAATTTGTAATATGTAATTAGTCTTCAAAAGTTTTCTACGAAAGAATTAGAGTTTTATAAGCTCTAGCACAAAGGACAAGGTTGAAAGAAAGAGAACGAGAGAGTTTTAGAATCCGAGGTATATCTTAGTTATAATACGAAGATGAGCATTTACAATACTACGAGAATAATGACATAACGTTAGTCTTCTATATTCTAATTAATATCATGTCAATTTTATTAGATAGAGTTGTAATTCCAAAATGAGTTTATAGTTGGAGAGTCCTGAGATAATTTTTTTTAGTATTACTTGTCATCTGTAAGCTAGCCACTAAATAACAAAAACTTGAATTGAGTGAATATACGTTTGAGATATGTCGTAATCAAGATATATATTCTAGTTGATATAGAGGTATGAGTTAATGTAATATATGAATATAAGATGTTAACTTTAAAATATACATATATATATAATCATGTTTTACCATTTGATGAGCGAAAAAGCATATGGAACATATTATCTGAAATGAGACAAGACTTTGAGTCACATTCGGTTGACCCATCAAAAAGCATATGGAATATATCATCTCCATCAAACTCTCAATATCTTTTATCTTTGGAGGCTTAAAGTTTTGGATATTACCACATGTTTAGTAAGCATTATTAAAATACACCAAACTTTACTGTTGAAATTTGTGATATGCAAACTAATTGTCTCTTGGCACACAAGATGAATTTGATGCACAACTCCATAGCAATCCAAACTACCATTTATATTCCTTGTCTAAACTTAATTGGCATTCTTCCCATCCCTCAAACAAAGTATCCATACATCACTCATCATGTTTCAGCAAGCAAACGCACAGTCGGCAAGTCTGCTCCTCCTCTTCCATCCCCCCCCACCCTCACCTCAAACTGTCATCTCCTCACCTACCAGTGGATCCAAATCTCCCACAAAGTATCATTCCTTGACTTGTTCAAAGCCAGAGAAGCTCCAAATCCCATAGCCTGAATTGACGCAATCATGCCTGTGAATCTTCCCCAAGAAGTTGGCCAGCGTTTGATCTCCGGATCGACACCGCGTTCACCTACCGCAGGTGATGGAGATCCACCGGAAGCCGGATAACCATGGCATCATTAATGGATGTCTGATCCAGTCAAAGCATTCATCGGTGTCCCAGCTGATGTGAACTGAGGTGGAGGTTGCAATATGTTGGACACTGATGCCATGTGATGTTGTCGATTGCCGTGTTGGTTGGTGATCGAGTCTCTATCCCAACGAGAGACGTTCTTTGTGTCAGGTGTTCTTCCAAGCTAAGAAGGCAACCTCTGATTTCATCCTTTCTTTCAAGTCACTTCAGCCTTAAATGTCTTGTGCTTTATGGTCTGCTATGTGCAAACAAATGGATGCTGCGACCCATTTCTTTGCTACATCATCGCTTGATTCAGTGGATCCGCATTTGGCTATCGGCTGATGACATTTAATTTGCCGTCACAATTTCTTGATGCATTTGTTATATTGCTAAGATATGGAAACTAAGAATTTACAGGTGATTTAGTCTCATATTAGTTGAGGAACATAAGAACTAAGGACTCGTAAGTTCGTCGGATCTCCTTTACCCTCAAAGATATTTTTTGGAGCTCACAACCGCATCAATGGTCGATCGATCAAATAGTCCCTTATCAAATTAACGTTAGAAGAAGGACCCGAGGCTTATATCTCGGTCGAGCAAACTCGCTCCCGTCGTGCACCTTAGCTATAAGCGCGATCGCATCAATAACCGACTGATCAAATGATCTCTTGTCATTTTTCAAACCTAAATATCAGATAAATAAGTTAATATAATTATTTTAAGAGTGTGTCAAAAAAAAATATACAAATTATGAATAATATATTTACGTGATTCTGCGTTTCCTATATATATTCATAAAAAAAATTTAATTTTTAGCATATAAATTTTTTCATACTCGAATTTCTGAATCAAACTAAAAAATATTTGTTGAGCTGAAATGGAGAGATGTTGTTGGATGGCTCATAATATCTTAAACATCGTCCTTATTCGCATCATATTTTAGTATAAGAGAAGCAACGTCGATGAACATGGCTGAGATGAAACATTGCAATCATCGGAAACAATCCATGTAATCATGTGAAACCGTTGGGGAGGAAGACATGTTCTTCTTGTCGTGGGACTCGCTGTCAATTCTTGATGAGAAATATATATTTTTTTGTGAGAAAACCCAGTGATCGAGCAGTCGCACCAACAAATTGGTAGCCATCAAACTGAGCCGGCGACAGCCGGCTTCAGTTCATTCCTATCCATGTTCATCACCTCTCTTTCTCTTCACGGTGAAATGGGCTGTTCCTCACGATACCTCTTACCATAAATCTCCCCCTGACCTCCGGGCTTTGCTGCAGTGCTCTCTTCGGTGGTGGTAAAGAAACAGAGGATTCTGAAGCGGAGAATTGTGAGGTGAGATGGGTAGCTTGGGAGATGCTTTGACCATGGAGTTCTTTCCTGCTCCTTCTGACCCTGTAATGATTGAGCTCAACCGGTTGGAGAATGGTCTCCTAGGTATGCTTGTACTCGAAACTTTTCCTCCATGATTTGCTTTTCTACTTGATTATTAATCGAATAGGAAAGGGAGAAGAAAGAAGAAAGTAGTGTCTGTAGATGATAGAGATATGATCCAGAATTCATGGTCTCAACATTTTAGATGCTGCTGTACTTACGTGCATCATCACCATTGTATGAAGAATATATATCCTGAAATCAATTGGAGCTCTGCTTTCTAAGTTAGAGTTCTTGAAATAAGACCGGTAGCCTCTTCAAGAATTGCTTAGTAGCTAATCAGAGAGGTTGGGTTAATGGATGAGTTGATTCTCATCCGCAAGATGCACTTTTCGATGATGTAATGGTTATACTGTACAGAGAAAGTGGTGTTGTGGATATCAACATCAGTTTCGAAGTTCCTAATCATTAGTTCGAAGCAGAGAGAGAACGTTCTTCGACTTGAGCTGGTTCACCCAGTTTTTTGCCTGTGTCGTCTGCCAATTGGATCAAACGACAGAAATGACCTCTTGCTTGTTGCAACATGTTTTGATCCGCTTCAATGAACCTGTCTAAGTTGCAAGCTTAATACGCAGAAAAGGAGAGGGAGTTGGGACTCGCCAAATGCGAGATCAAGACATTGAAAGCGACTGAGCTCTCGAAGGATAAAGCTGTGATGGAGGTAAAGATGGTGTCGAAGAATGTTTTGATCTATGGTCTTGTGCAACTACTCTTTCACGTCGGCTTTACCTTAACCCTTGTGTGTCATGTTCTCCAGCTAAGCAATGAAGTGAAGAAAATGGATGAGAAGCTCAGGGCGACCGAGAAACAACTCGAGAACAAGGTTCCAATACTGTTGAACACATTTCTTCTAGCGTGATCAACCTTTGGGCGGGCGATTGAAATCATCATTTGATGCGTTGCAGAATCTTGAGATCAAAAAGCTAATCAACGAGAAGAAGGAGGCGTTGGCTGCACAATTTTCCGCAGAAGCGGCTCTGAGAAGAGTACACGCAACCCAGAAGGATGAGGAGCTCGTCCCGGTTGGCGTTCTTACGGCACCACTGGAGTCTGATATCAGACAGTACAAGAACGAGGTACTAAACCGCAGCACCTCAGATACCACTGCGAGATTAATGAGCTCTCACGGCTTCTCCATCACCGTGCAGATTGTGATGCTTCAAGAGGATAACAAGGCTTTGGAACGACTGACGAAGTCCAAAGAGGCAGCACTGGTCGAAGCAGAAGCTCTTCTGCAGAGCGCTCTGGAACAGGCGATGAGCGTAGAGATGGTGCGCAACAAGAACCTCGAGTTGAAGAGGCAAATGGAGATCTGCCAGGAAGAGAATAGAACTCTGGAGAAGACACATCGTCAGAAGGTGGTCGAGGTTGAAAGGCTCACCAAAACCATTACCGAGCTCGAGGAATCCATTCTCGCTAGCAGCGTGACGGCCAATGCAATACGCGATTGCCAGCGCCAGATTTCCGAGTTGAACGTAAGCATCAAAATTGGGCTCTTTGTGTTCCTTCTCCTGATGCTAAACTTTGTTCATGATCAACTAATATCCAGGAGGAGAAGAGGATGGTCGAGAGGGAGCTCGCGAGGGTTAAAGTTTCGGCAAGTAGAATGGCCACAGTGGCAGCTAACGAGTGGAAGGATGACAACGACAAAGTCATCCCTGTCAAGCAGTGGCTGGAAGAGAGAAGATTTTTGCAGGTATTCCATGCAAGTCGTCTTAAATGTTCAATGGCAGTCACAGAGTTTATTCCTCGAGTTATCTAAGCGTATGCTACGTTTCCAGGGGGAGATACAACGATTACGGGATAAACTAGCTTTAGCAGAAAGAACCGCCAAGGCAGAGCGCCAATTGAAAGTAAGATTCTCTCTGTGCAATCTACTCTTCTTTATGTCTGTCCATCATCACTGAGGTCGACGTACAATTGCAGGACAAACTGAGCTTGAGGTTGAAGACGGTAGAAGAGTGTTTGAAGCCTTCTGGTCTTCCAGAGAAGCACGGTGAGCTTCCTGGGGGAAAGAAATATGGAGTAAAGAAGCGATCCGCATCGAGGCCAAGGGCTTCTCATGCAACCAAGAACGCATCAGTACTACAGCAGCCTCACTCGATCTCTGGAAATGGTGATAAGATCTTTGACGGAAAGAATCCAGTTCAGAAGAATTTGTCAGCTCCAAGAAGCAGGTCATTCAGCGACAGCGAGAAGGAGAATGCAGAGACGAACGTCAAGCCCAATGGACATGTGGATGATGATGTGGTTACTGGTAAAACAGAGCTCACGCATGAAGTCAATGCCAAGGAGTGTGGACACATCAAGTCAGAGATGAAGAGGCTTGGAGTTGACTGTGAAGATATGGTGTCTGGCTTCCTGTATGACAGATTGCAGAAGGAAGTACTGAACTTGAGAGGATCTCAGAAGGATAAAGAGAGTTTACTGAGTGCAAAAGATGATGAAATTAAGGTCAATACAGAAGCATTTCATATGAAATTATTGAGTTTTTGTTTCTTCTAATTACATAAACTTTCTTTGACTTCAGATGCTCCAAAAGAAGGTGGATGTTCTAACGAAGGCTGTGGAGATGGAGCTAAAGAAGACAAGAAGAAATGCTGTGGCTCGAGAAAGAAAGATGTTGGCTAAGCCAGAGGATAACAAGCACAATACTGACATCTCAGAAAGGTAGGCACTTGCTCTCCTAATGGTGTGTACAAACCTTTTCTTATTGAGTTGTTCTCAAGGAAAAGTCTATGATCAATTCAAAAGAAAAGCATAATTTATGCATGAGAAGAATGTCCTATGATTTGACAGAATTTATGCATGATATTTTCCTTCTTTTTTTTTTATCTGCAGGTATGTGAGGCAACTTGAAGTTTCAAAAGGTTCTACAGCTTAGAAAGTTGATCATAGCATCCAATAATGGGTCTATCTCATGTACATTTTCAGACTGGTCATCGTAAGAAAGTTTAGTGGAAGATATGCAACTCTGTTTCTTTTTTCTTCTTTTTTTTTTTGTCCCTCTGAGTGGAATGTAAAACCAGATGTGCAGCAGAGTGTTGTTAACATTGTAATGGAAGTAAAGTACAAGAAGCAAAAGAAAAATGTATTGAATAATCTACACAGAGCAATGTCATGATGCTACAGGACTGCTAATACAGATTACATCTGATGATATTGAGCTGGACTGTTGATAAACATATAACAAGATCTGATAACTTTTACAATCACATTCCCAAATTGATTAAACCAAGTAGGTGCTATTTTACCACCTTTGCAAATCATCAAGGCCCTTCAAAAATTTGGCAACATAGTATTTTGGGTTCACTGAAGCATTAAACTGGTACTAGAATGCAGATATGCAGACATCCATAAGGCACTGTGGCACATATAACAGAACTAAGATGACAGGATCAAGCATAAATATCTGTAGAGATTACCGCTAGTATTTGTAACACAAGAATATTTACATGTGTTAGAAATAAAAATGGCATCCCATTCGAGCAGAATAAATAATAATCCTTAAGGACAGTTCTCATTTTACCAAAATGTGCAGCCTAAGCAGCAACTACATCAGACGAGCTCCTTGACGCCAACCATGACTGAGCTGCAACTTTTGTGGTCAGAAACCATCCAACCTTATCTGGTGCTTCATGAAATGGTGCATTGATTTCCCTCAAGTGAGACTCCAAAACAGATGCTAACCCTTTCTCTGAATATTTATGCTTCCCATGCCCTGTGTGGATACCAAGTAATGGAGGCAACTCCTCTCCGTTCTGTAAGCAATTGGCTAGATCATTCATCCAGACATGTAATGCGGTCAAAGCTGCTCCAAGCGACAGGCTCCTCACATGTAAGGACCACTGTGTAGGAGATCTCGATTGAAGATCTCTATATATCTCAAGCCGGATTGCCAGGTCCAGAAGCACACAAGCTCTTTCCAATTGATCATGGTTTACACAGAGATCTATCAAACAGTTACAATAAGCTTTTTTCACTTCACTACTTATGTATTGAAAGAGTTCTTCAGCTTCTCGCCTGACTGTCTCATTGTCAGTTCCCTCAGCCACCAGCATCTTTACTAGAGAACCCAACTGATGGTTAGCTCTTTCGATACAACCAATGATCTTCCCCAATTCTTCTGCTGGCGTCTGTGTTGCCACATTCAAAAGACAGCCACAAAACCGATCATCGGGTCTTATCCCCAGCTCCAAAAGCTTGTCAAGCGATTTAACCACACTATCAGTCATTTGAGCCTTCCCGTAGCACTGAATAAGAGATGTAAGCACAAAGATATTAGGCTGAAATCCCGCTTCCAACATGTCATCCAACAAACCCTCCGCCTCAGACACCTTTCCACTACAACAGTATGCCGTGATCAAAGATGAGTAACTCCAGATATCAGGTCGGCATCCGTCTGGCAGCTCCTTCATTTTTCTAAATATTTCCACGGCTTCGTCAACAGAACCAATATCAGCACACATCGATAGAAGCATATTGTAAAGGATCACATTCAACTCCATTCCCCTTTCGTTCATCTGCTTGTACACTCCGAGTGCATCTTCGGCATATCGAGCCTTGCTATATGCTCGTAGAAGTGCAGAATATGTGGCTCTGGTAGGCACCAACCCCCGACTACTCATCTCCCGATAAATAGTCTTAACTTGCCATGGCCTTCCGGCCCTCCCCATGGAATCCAACAATGTGTTGTAAATTACCACATTAGGCTTCACACCAAGAGCCTTCATTTCCTCATACACATTGAGTGCCCCATCAAAATTACCAGACACGCTATAAACCCTAATCACCGTCGCAAAAGTCACAGGATCAAGCCTCCACTTTTCATTACGGGCACGATCGTACAACCCAAGAGCCATCTCCACATTGCCAGACCGGCCATAAGCATCAATCATGGCCGAGTACGTGATGTCATCCGGGTGGCATCCAAACTCAGGCATCTTCTCGAACCACTCCACTGCTTTTGCAGGCAAATTACAGAGCCTGGCACAGCTAATTGCGGTCGAAAACGTCACGTTATCCGGCTTGATTCCCTTCTCCATCATCTCCTCCCAAAGGGCCTCTAGGCCATTCCAGTCCTTACACTTCCTCAGCACCTTAAGGGTGACATTATAGAGAATTACCTCCTTTTCGAGTTTGATCCTGCTCCGGAACCACCGAAGCACGAGGACGGCGTTTTGGGAGTTCTCCATGGAGTTGAGGATGATGACAGCGTCCTGCTCGGGCGGGGCGTCACCCAGAGAGGCGAGGACGCCGGAGACGGCGGGCTCGGTGGGGTCGGAGGAGTCGAGGGAGGCGGCGAGACGGGCGAGGCGGGCGTAGCGGGAGTCGGAGGACCGCTGGCGGAGGCGCGATGCGCGGGGGCTGTTTGGGTTGACCCATATAGAGTTCTTGAAGGGCGGGTTGGGGTTCGGAGGAGGAAGACGGGAGCGGGCATCACCGTCATCGAGGGAGGACGAATCAGGAGACGGTAGAGGAGATGTCTGAGGGGTGGTGGGGGCTTGGACGGAGGCTTTGGGTGACACGTGGGGGTGAGGAGGAGATAGGAAGGGGAGGGAGATGGGATGGCAAGGGAAGAGGCTCCTCCTCCTGCTGCAAGGGGAGGAGACCTGGAAGAAATTGGGGGGAGAAGGGGAAGAGTGGACATGGGAAGGAATAGGAGCCGCAGGGGAGATGTGGAATGCCATCACTGCGCACCGTTCCTTTCCTCTCTGGGCTCGGTGAGCGAGGGCTTCTGCTGGGGTTTGCGTGGGTCGGTGAGTGGGTGGCCGAGAGATATCTGATGCCGCTTGATCTTATCAGTGCCTATTTGTGTGCAGAGATTTCTTATGCCATACAAGTCCTTCGAACGTATAATATCAATACTGAAAGAAATAAAATAAAATTCTCCCACCACATGGGCTGAGTTGGGCCAAAATCTGCTTAGATAATGGGCCGAACGGGCTGATTCTAGAAGACCCGTTATTGGGCCATTACCAGGACTGGCTGCTAATGGATCGGATTCGGATTCAATATATGTGTATGGATTAGACCTTGGCAATTCGGACCCGAAGAAACCATATGGGCCCAAATTGTATGACGGAGAATGAGGCGATAGAAGGCGAAGGCGGTGACAAAAAGAAGTGCCCAATACGGCGGAGTAGCACATCCTCCCACCAAACCCATCACTAACCACGACACCAAACGAGGCGTTGCGTAAACCCTACCAATCGAATTCGATCACCTCTTTCCTCGGTCCCCACTCCATGTGACCACCCTTTTAATGGCGGAAGATATCGAACAATTCCGTGTAATTAATGCGTTATTACTCTTCCATTCATACAAATCCTCCATACTTAACAACCATATCGTGATGTAATGATGATGATAATAATAATAATAATAATAATAATAATAATCCCACAAACCTTACATTTAGAGTGCTCGTTATAACCTTGCAAACAGAGAGAGAGAGAGAGAGAGATTAGGTGATTACATCACGCTACAGGTGGATGGATCCTCTTCGCAGAAGAACTGGTAACTCTTGCAAGGTGGTGCGTAGTAGGGCCCGCCGTAGCCCATCGGTGGACCCACCTGCTGGGGGCCCGTCACCCTGCCGCAGGAGCAGCACCTGCAGCCGCCGTGGTAGCTCTCGTAGCTCGGCCTGTGGCAGCACACCTGCCCCGGCGGCCAGAAGCAGGGCACCACCACCGGCTCGATCTTGATCGTCTCCTGCTTCTTCTGCTCCTTTTTCTCGTCTTTCTTCTCCTCCTTCTTCTCATCCTTCTTCTCCTCCTTTTTCTCCTCTTTCTTCTCCTCTTTCTTCTTCTCCTCTTTCTTCTCCTCTTTCTTCTTCTCTTCTTTCTTTTCTTCCTTCTTCTCTTCCTTCTTCTCCTCTTTTTTCTCCTCTTTCTTCTCCTCCTTTATCTGGATGCTCTTGATCACCTTGCAGGCCTTGCATCGCAGCTTCTTGGACAGCTTCTCAGGATCGAAGGGGCCAGAGATCGTCACCGTCCCGTTCTTCTCATCATAGGCTATGGTCTTGATGTTCTCCTTTTCTTGAGCAACCAACACAAACACAGAGATAAAGATCCACATTTACGTCAAATTTTCTCCCTTGTAAGTGACATCAAGGAATGATCATGATGTTTCTAACCTTGGATCTTGCATAGAGTCTTCCTGATCTTTTTGTAACAGATGTGGCAGTCAAGGTCAACCTTCAAGATCAATGTCGAGATCTGCAACAAGATTGTGTAAGTACACAAAAGACCAACCCTGCTGTGGAAATATGCCACCAAAGGAGAGCACCAAATGATGACCACAAATCACGAGACATACTGTAACATACAAGGCGGAGGTGAAGGAGAAGAAGAGCTACAGTGGACTGACAAGAATTGCCTACCTTCCCTGCCATCGCGTACGTGGATTGAGATCCCACCTCCGGAGCAGTATTCAAGGCAGAGGAGAGGGAGGAGGAGGTCGCTCCTATATAGCAGCATCCCGGGCGTCCACCGGCAGCCAATCACGTAGTGTTGGGTGTCCCATTACCTTCCATATGTCAAACCTGTGCGACGTTTTCAATTGCCCGTCGCATGTGCTATTCATTCACTCGAAGCAGACACGCAAATGAGTTGGGCAGCACAACAGGGCCAGCCAACGCTGCTTTCAACCCAACCAACACAGCCTGATGGGAATACGCCATGGCGCGGTCTTCATCACGTCACCATGATTCTCTCCTCCAAAGAAGACAAAAGGCTTGTCCTGAATCGGATGGATGAGTCAAGGATGGCATGCGATTAACTTTTAGCCCACAGGATTTGGTGGCTGCTTCATGGGCAATCTCATTAAAAGGGTTTCCAAACCTTGCTATGGATGATGCTTCCAAGGCAAGATGGTGTCTGGGTGTCTGCACCAAGGCATCGGGGACGTCTCTCTCCATTATAAATGCACAGATGATATTATAATACATCTCCATTGGCAGAAGCATCTGCTTTCCTGTACCTCCTTGTATTCCTACGAGGATACTTCCTTTTACGTAGCAAAAATGCATGTATACATACGGTAGGTAGCAAAAGGGGTGGTAGAACTTCTCAAGTCATGATATGACACAAGTCATCATCAGTGTTTGTCCAGAGCTCAAGTGTAACATCAGAGTAAATATGGCAGCAAATTGACGAACAATCATGGTTGGAAGCTGTATCCATCACATTTCCCTCCTTGACGTTTGCATGCGAAATCTACTGGACCAGTTTTTGGAGGTATCCAAATATCTGGATATAAATAAAGATCGTATTAATGGGAAAGAGACCGGTTTATTTCCAAGGACATATATGTCATAGTATAGAAGAATGTATACATCTTTTCATGTGTATATAATATTATATGCAAATACCCTATTGATTATATAGCATTCTATACTTCTGAAATATTAGTACATTTGCACATATCCCCTTTAAATTATTTTCTCATTAATATTTTTAAAAAATAATTTTTTCATTACATTTAAATGACGTAAAAGGCATTTTCATAGGTACTCCAACATAGGATCTATGAATTGTGCAACAGGATACTACCCACTAAAATATCTCAGTAGAAACTTTCCTAACTAATGTCACTTCATCGTTATCTTGAAAAAAAAACTCATATTCTCTCTATCTGGTATCAATATCTTTTAATTCTGGTAAGAATTGTATGCTTTTGAGAAATATTATTAAAGATACATACTCTCAATAGGAATACATATGGATATAAATACTTTTAAGAGGGTCAATCATTGATGATTCCATAGGAGAGCCTTATTATCTACTTGCTAGTCTGTCTTATAAACCAATCACATGATTGACCTATTTTTTTTCTTATTATTATTATGATATTTTTTTTATTTTATATTACTTAATATATAAATATATTATGATGTTCATGGATATGTACGAATCGGATCATCATGATATCACGATAATGAGATCGATTCACCTTTAAACACAAACCCTAAATAATCTTGATCATAGATTATTCGAAAGGGACATCAAGATAACTTGACATACTGGTGTGCGTATACCCGTCCATACAATGGAGGTGATTGGTCTCATAGCTGCTCGTTTGGGGACACTAAGGTTACAATGCATGTAATCATTGGAGAATAAGTTCACTGATTGATCCGCTCATGGAATGAGTTTATTGAGTGTCGATAGAGGATCATCCACTCTCAGTATCATAAGAGGAATATCACATGTGTTCTTGCGTAAACAAATCCTTGACCAAGGTCATTTAGATTAAGAGAGAAAATTCTTCGATTGAATCTAATTAGAGCGAGACTCAATGAGAAGCTGTATATCCTTGAATTCCTACATATTTATGAGAGACTTAAGGAGAAATCGTATATCCGATTACTCAAAAATAAATTATGATAAAATTATTATGATAAAAATAAATACTTGTAGATATTTTTATCCAGCATTTGTCTTATCAATAATTACTTATATTGATTGATATATGGAGATATTAGAAAGCATATTATAAAAAAAATAAATTATGATAAAATTATTATGATCCTCTCTCAATATTTTGATAATATGTCAAGATAGTCAATTTTTCTAAGACCAAAGTATCATTTCTCATATAATTAAGTCTCTCTCAAATAAAATCATGCTGATAGAGACGTGATTCATAAGATGTGGTATTAAGATGTGTACCTAGAAGAAGGATACTATACAGCGATTCCGTATAAAGGGAAGTCAGATTAAAGTAAAACTCTTGTCCTCCCACAACCTTTGTTACGTGCTGCAACAGGAAATTACACTAGCAAGAAAACAGTGATCAAACACCGTCGTCATTTGTGCTTTGGAGACTATGTTTTGGTAGCTTCCTAGCAATGGGGGAAGGCTAAACATACACGCAACGTTAAGTCATGTTCGAGCTGTCACAAGGAGACTGGCACCTTCCAACCAATGTGTCAATCAAATTATTGCGAGATTGCAACAGTCCAAATCTGCCTTGCAAGAGAATCTAAAATAATCAGAACGACGAGATGATGACGAACAATATACACCAGAAAGCACACCGAGTTTATCCTGTCCATGTTATACTAATATTATAGAGACCACATGAATTAAAAGCACCAAGCGATTAGAGTACTCGGTGGTGCCTATCCTAATTTTGTAGGTCATATACACAGCATCAACGGTGGCTTTAAGATACACCAGGACATTACTGGCATGTCGTAGTTTGTCTTGGTGCTTAGCAGCATCCATTAGAGATCGATCAGTGGCCCCAAGTTTACTTCAAGTGCTTCGTCCTCTTTCGTAGGATTATTCCTTGGGCACAATTTAGCATCATGTTGCGATCTCTTACTTTGCAGTGAGGTAATCACCTCAAGATGGTTATGAGTTGCTTGCGCTCTGAGATGACACAGTATAGTATATGTCGCTGCAGTTGAAGCTCGTATCCATTCTCTCCTGCTCGCTCTCTGTAGTCTGTAGACAGGGGCATGATGATGATTGCAGCACCGGCTTCCAGAGGAATAACAAAGATTAAGACCCCACACCATATTCCCCACCGACAGACGAGCCCATGAAACAACGACTAAGAGTTCGGTGAAGTGGAGCATCCCGTCGTTGATTTATGGGCTGTGCCACGGTACAACATTGGATTCACTTGGTACGCAATATCTTAAGAATCTATTAACACACACACTCTCTCCAATACAAGATCGGAAAAGAACAATACCGTGGCACAAATCAGATGCCGAAGCTGAACACCGAACGCTTACAGCATCACTCTCGAAGGAGTAGAATCAGCAAGCTGTTTTGCTAATAACTCTGGCAAGAAAAGTAGAGACAATTATCATCTTGTATTCCACTGATAAATTAATTACTTACGTATTCTGTAAGAAAGAATGTGATGTACTTTTACCATAAAATAGTATGCTGCTGTTACCGTCATCCTCAAAAAGTGTACCACTTCATCAGCCACTCGTTTCTATACTGCGACATCTTGAAAGCACTCCTGCACTAAAGCATCGACATTGACAGGCATTAACAAAGAAGAAGAGAACCGAGTCATCTAACACCAGGAGATAAATTTCCAGATAATAATACAACTGGGGATCTCTAAGCACACACCAGTCGCTTAATGGACCTGTGCACCATGCTTAACAAATATTAGATTGCGCATATCCAACATCAACAGGATAACTAAAAAGGAGTGTCATCTACAACAGCAGTGCGAAAAGATCTTATAGCATCCCTAGATATCTGTTAAAAAGAGACAGATGAATCCCCCAGATATCACTAATGCACCAGAACAGGTAACACATTGGTCACTGGTAATATAAGTATACATGAGCCAACAGAAAGAGAAGCACAAAAGTTAACAATGACAATCATATCGAACTGTTACACACATGACCTCAGAACCTCAAGGTCCTAAAGCTAATCGCGACTACGACAATATGAGAAAAGAACACCAAGCAAAAAGTTGGTGCGACAATCATAACATACTGTCGAGGAAAAAAAAGCAAGAAACTCCTAGGTCAGTCAAAGGATAATGCCTTCAAAAAACAAAAAGTCAATAATACAACCACCATGCAATTATTACTCTCTTTAATCAAAAGTACTACTGCAAACTTAACCAAGCAAATACTAGAGCCACCGGACAGAACAAAAAACTTGCTTCGCACAGAAGCAGTGAGCATACAGATAAGGCAAGAAATACTGCTAACATGGCTATAAGCCAAATAGAAATTGCTGGTGAAACAAATTCGGTGCAGCAAATCATTACATGGCTAAGAACCAAACACAAAATGCTGGTGAAACAGACTCTGTTTATGCTCAATTTAACAAATGCCAAAGGTTCGTAACAGTGATAAAGGCCCATATAAGTAAGATAGTCGTGGGTATCTTACAGATAGTAGTGCCACAAAGGCTAAATAATAGGTTGACACAGTACACCTTCCGTTCAGTTTATAGATGTATTTCTACGGATATTTCTCAAACTGTGATTCATGGCAGTGAGGATCCAGCCAGTCTCGTGGGGAGCTCCTCAGCATGGTGGCACTGCTTACCTTACCACCCACAAGCTGTTGAAGTGTTTCTACTTTGTTCTCACGGCCAGTTCCAGAATATCTACGATCCGCTTCCTTTAGCTTATGCTTAAAGCTCGGTTTACGCCCAGATGCTTTGACCTCTTGCTGCTTGGCTTGAGAAGGTGGAGCACCGTGAGGTCCCAAGTAGATTTTCTCAGCTTCTATGGTGGTCTGTTATAGCATATATATTATTTGGTCAAAGTGAAGTAGGTAAATATATACTGTTGGAACAACTTAGTGCAGGAAAACCCAACACAGAAATGACTATCCACAAAACAAACATTCAAAGACTAACCGTCGCAGGAGGTTTAGAATCCGTTACTCCAGGCACATTTGTGTCAGAAGGATCAAAATCACCGATTGTCAAGCTTGGGATCACAAATCCATCAGTATCTGTGGCACAGATCTAACAATTAGTGCTACACAACAGAAAGGATACAGTACACCCACAATGGTAAAATATATATAGTTAGCTGACATCTTTTGTTCTGTAATGACCAAGTAGAAGAGGATACCGTATACCCACAGTGGTAACAAAGTGAAGGAAAACATATATCAAGAGAAACATATTATCCCACGTAAAAAAGAAAACAAAGGTTTCATTAATAATATCATCAATCAACAAACAAGGAATCACTTAAAGTGAGCAACACACCAATTTGTCAAAAATAATGGCACAATAGTTGTATAATTCCATGAGCATCTTCCTTCAGAGAAAAAATAACCAACTAAGCAAAATTGAAAAATGACAGTTTGTTTCTCCAAGATTCCCAGGATTTCAGTTACATGGGAAGTGTGTTAAGTTTCAGGGACATCAACAATCCTAAAGAAAAGTCTTTATGAAGGAGCCTTGAAATTAAAGCCAGGAAGGTCAAAGTTTGTTAAATAACAACATTAAAAAAAATGTTCAGAAGATAAGAAGTAATGGCTTTAATATTATTTCAGTTATCCTTCTCCAAAAGATCTGATTCCATTAAGTGAGGACGTGCTTGTTTATCTATAATTTTAGTTAATTATAATTGGAAACCAACAACGCAAGGCAGGATTTTTGGTTGCTTACATGTAGCAGATACAAATTAAATTTGCTTTTCTGTTGCAATTGTAAAGCCAAGTTGTTGTAGCGCTTGCCTCTAGTTCCACCTATAGCCAAACTGTTCTAGAATGTTAATATAGCTGCCAAAATATGAAAGATAATGAAGCTCTTAGCCTTCTTCAATTAATCTTTTGATGTCTACAACTATAGTTGGTACTCATTCCAGTAAAACACAGAGATATCAAATTTCTTGTCTATCCATAGCCAAGTCCACATTTTTATCATTGGTTTGTCTTTTCACAATCTACTAAAGCAGCAGCTCCATAGGAAAGCAAATGGAAATAGTATTTTTAATTAATATTCTGTGCCGTGATTCTGTATAGAGACACAGGACATGTTATAACAATGTCTTCTGTGCTTCCTAATTTTAGCTTTTAGCACAAGCAGTCAAAGCTGATTGATAGACATTGAATAGTGCACAAAACTTGAGAGACAAGTTTTAAAATTTAGCTTATAGTCAGTGGTGCTCAAGTTAATACAAAGTGGTTGCATGCCGCAAACTATTATTCGCAGATTATGATTCCAAACACAATGGAATAGATAAAGACCAAGATGATTTGTGGTTCGGGTCAGGGTGGACAGCAGGAGGAGGCTTGCAGGAAAGTGCCTTGGATTGTAGATTTCAAGTGACGACATAGATAATAAAACAAATCAAGATGGTGGATTTTTGAAGCCTGCAGACACACATTTTAAGGCTCTTTTATTAGCCATTTGACTAAATGGGTGCAAAAAGAAATGGATGGAACAAGGAATAGAAAGATGAAAGGAATGAAGCAAAAGAAAGGAAAAAATAAAAGAAATACAAGTGTAAGCTTGACATTTCGCACTTACCTTCTGTAAAATTTTAAATTGAAGGCTGCCCCAGTATATTATCTCATATTTTCTAAAAGCGATTTAGTCAACAATAGTAGGCAACTACACTCTAAGTCTCTCTAGTCTCCCCAAACTCCAAGGTAACTGGGAAAAAAACTGAAAGATCACTAGCTCACCAGATTATGTCGCTTCCCTGTGTTATATACGGATTACATTCAAGAGTTCTAACTTCAGTGAGATGTCAATCTCAGAACTCTCTAGGAAATTGCAAATGTTGATGTTCATGAATCAACCACTTTAACTGCAGGGTGGCAAGTGCAACTCCAATGACATACGAAGGGTGTGCGCATATTATGGGATGCCAAGCAAGGAAATGGTGGTGGCAGATGAGTCTTCAAGCGACACTGATATGGTATCACCTGAATTCACATGGTCATATTAAACACACGTTCTAAGCAGTAAGAGTCACCAAAAAGATTAAGCTCCAACATCTCCCAATAGGAGTTAAGAGGGAGCTTTCAAGTAGCAATAATCCAGGTGAAAACAGACTTCTTTAACATCTAATGATCATAAAATAAAATTAGGCACATCCCAATTTTTCCTCAAAACGTAGCGCACCATGATCTCCACCTAGGGCAAGTGCCTGGGATTTGAAATTTCAATTGTTACCAATAACAGAAAGTAAAGCAGTTGATCCACCAGAAAAACAAACCATGATAAAACTGAATCAACTTTCAAGAACAATAGTTAAACAGAACCGATTTCTCAAGGCCCAAATTAAGAACCCTCACACTTAATACAGATCAAAATAGCTAAAGACACAACTATGCAGATAAAATCTACAAGATGTCAGCAAGTAAACAACATATGCACCATTCACAGCCACCACCATAGAATCCTCTTAAGAGATCCAGATCGAGAACTCACCTATCCACAAAGAGATGAATCTACGACCAAAAGCAAAAGAATAGAGAACAAAATCTTACCCCATTCAGCTTCTTCCACCTCAGGGGAGGGCTGACTCAAAGAGGGATCCATGGGACGCAAACGAACATCGATTTCGGCGGCCACAAGGGCGCAAAAGCCCGTACTTTCCTCGATCTCGCTGTAACAGGAACAGGCTAAACAGCGGCAAATAAATGAACAAATCCAAGAAAACGATCAAGAGAAACAAGTCAAAAGAATCAGAAAAGGAACCTCCGAGAGGAGAGGAAGGGGAGAGAGGACGCGAAGGTGGAAAGATCGGATGTTACGTTCGTGCCGGAGTTCCATCGACGGAAGTAGCCCTAACCTTTATGTTCGTGAAGGGTGGGAAGAATCGGGTTATTGGACTTCGGGTTTGGATGTGCAAGGAAACATCATACAAAAGTCCGCCTCTTCAGATCCGAAACATTAAATATATGCTTCAAATTTACCCACTTATTATCATAAAAAAAATAATTAAACATTTATTTTCCTTATGGAAGTGTTTATACTTTCATATATTTTTCGATTAATAAACTTAAAATTAAAGCGGAACAAAAATTATATTAGGAAAATTTTGGAAAGAAAAGAAATCAGCACAAGGAGAAGAAAGGAAAGTTCTTTTTCTTGGTGATAAAGATTTGAATTGAATATGATCGTCCGTCTCTATCCTAACATCCCAAAAAATACTTTCCTAAGAAAGTTGAATTAACAATTTATTTTTATATCAAACAATTTGATAAAAAAAAATGTGATGGTTAAACTATGCATTCCACATGAATATTAGGATATAAGTGCACATATCTCAAAGTTAATTTCATCTAATTCACAGGATTCTCCTCAACATAATTTCTAACAAAACCATGTGAATCAACAGCACCACATACTCCATTATGTGCATGAAAGACAAAGAGGTTTATACAACGTAATGTTCTGGCATTCCTTTGCAATTAAGAATATGAAGTATGGTTCAATATCCTAAACAATCATCAGTTTTATTACAAACAAAAGATCAGACAGCTTACAATAACACACATGCACACCTGCACGCGCGCACGCATGTGTAGAAGTAAAATAGCAAAATAAATGGCTCATTATCGTTCAAACATCACCATACGATTGCTTGTTCTTCGACACATTTTCTTTATCCGGTCTGGATGGCTATTGGACGCATTTTCAAGTATGCGTAAAATATGGACTGGACTAACCAAATAATGCAGGGTAAATATCATGAAGTAGGTGCATACTGTTACCAATCAGCAGGAAGAAAGTGATTAAAGATAATTTTGGCAAAGAAGCGAAGAAGAGGGCCGGCGCCAGCTCTTTGCAAAATACCTTCGGAGGAACTGCAGCTGCGTTCTCAAATTTGCAAATGAAGTTTCTCAAAACAAACTATGGCAACGATAGGCCCAGCAAAATCTCCAAGAGCACAACCTATAGAACCATCAGCTCAGAGAAGCAAACATTAGTATGAAGTTTTAACTTTGCCATGACTACCTTATATGGAAAACACAACAAGGAGAATTTGCCCGTTATGGTTGTTCTGATCAATGAAAAGTAAGGACTTTGGAAAGAAAAGGATCATTCAAACTTGACAAAAAAACATATATATTGCAATACCATACTGTCAAACCATTTGAGCTATGTGCAGTCCATTGATTAAAAAACATGGTCCAGTATACAAGGAGTGCACAGATATAAGGTCCGGTAATGATTGATGTACACAAACTTACCTCTACAAAAAAAGAGATTATTTCCACAAGTCAAACATGGTTACCTAAATCACAAAAAGATAATCTTACTGTGAAACCCAAGCCCACCCATCATTTGTCATCTCCATTGATGCAAACAAGTATTGCTTTACCTAAATATGAGAAAACACTACATGTACCCATGGTAGGTAGAGAAAACCCTAATGAAACAGCAAGCCATAATGTCCCAAACTATTTGGAGTCCATAGAGAAAACCCAAGTGGCAAGAAGATTAATTACATCTCCAAGATATAAGCACTTGCCATCAAAACCTTTGGAGTCCATAGAGAAAACCAAAGTAGCAAGAAGATTATTTACATCTCCAAGATATAAGCACTTGCCACCATAACCATGGTTTTAAGGAGAATTGCTTCATTAGTTATGCTAGAAATTTTAACTTGTACAAACCGAGTTGTGCATGAAGTTTGACAGTATATTGTTTGTTTTGAGTAATGGGGGCTCAACCTTGACCAGTGCCATAATGTATTTCCGCAAAACAAATGATGTCTTATTCCATATTTTGAGAGGCTTATCTAGTAAAGTTAGACCAGCTAAACACGCAAAGTAATCAAGCAATATTTTTTTTATCGTAGTTGTCATTGTTTATCAATTTCATACTTTTTATATCTCGTGTAAAAAGCATCTTACATATGCACATATGTATCCCGTCAGTTGCTAATCTTATCCCTAGTCTAGTTATCCAATCATATTCAGGAGAAATTTTGTGGTAATAGTCCATTTCGTAATCAGTAAATGAACATAGGATATAAATATCCAGGTTGTTAACATGTCCATAATATCTCTTGCTGTGCATCATGGATCTATATGTTTAAGCCTGGAATCTCAGGTACTTACATCATAGCTCAAAGAAGGGTTTAAAGAAAAGATTTTAGATCCTATTCTTTGTTGTCATTTATTTGATTCCATAAGACATGATTCTTTTAATACCAGGTATATCATCCTTATGGATAATCATCTTAGCTTATCATGACAGCACATAAATATTTGTAATGAAGGTAAAAATTAATTTTAATAATGAACTAAAGTATTCAACCAACACTATCCATATGTGCATGAATATATTAACTTACCAATCCATTGGCCGGTTGAAGGATGACAAAGAGCACCAATGCCTGCTCCGATGGATGCAAAAACTAATGATGCACTGCACTTTACAGTTGTCCCAAACAACTTTCTCCTGAACAGCCTGATCTTTTCATTGATGTTAATATCTTCATCATCATTGTTATGCTTACGGAAAAAGCATCTATAGATCTCAATAATCACTTGGACAATCCATGATGCAGCTACGCCCAACATATGTCCTGTTATGAAAAAACAGAAGACCATAAGAATCAATAAAGAAACAGTGGATTAAAATGGAAGTAAGAGAAAAAAACTTAACCTCTGAAAGTTGTTCTGCTGACACTATAAAAGAACAACAGAGTTGGCATCCCCCTATCAAACTTGCGTTTGGCTGATCTAGGAACATCTGAAAACCAAACTCAAATCTGTCAGCAGCTGAAGCAAAACCATTTGAAATAAAGAAGCAAACAGACGATTTCTCTAGAGAAAAATTTCATCTTAAACAACAAAAGAAATTGACATGGATGTCTAAACAAAGAGTTATTACATGCACTTACTAAAATTACATACCAGGATTGCTTGTCTATCTCATCGCATGTAACAAAAACAAACAGATAAACCAATCCCCACTTAAACCACCACAGAGTAGGATTCTTACTCAAAACTGACATTTTGGAAGGACATTGCCTGTCCATAGCTGCAATGAGTGTTTCTTCACATAAGATAAGAGTGTATCTGATTTCCCCACAGAGAGTAATGATAATTTGGATATGTTACTTCATTAGATAAGATAGTAAGTTTACTAACTTTATGCAAGTTAGGAAGTTTGAGAGAGAGCTTAATAATGCCTTTATCAAATCATTAACCAAATTTATTAGGTCAGGCAGTTAAAAGAGAACCCAACAGAACCGAACAAGCCAAATAATTTTGATTTGAAAGAATCTGGACACTTGTACAAATTCAGATATGCTTCTAAATTCTAATATATATCAGATATAGTCCAGAGAGTTCAGTATACTAAACTGGATACCAAAAGGTGCACTTTCAAGTTAGTTCAATTGGCGCCAATGACATGAATTTGTAAATGTTAAAATAGAAGTGTACATGATCGCCAGGGGGCAATTGTTGCTTGCTTTCATACACTTTATTATTCACAAATGAAAGACAACAAGTGATAGTGGGTCCAAGCAACAATACGAGAGAAAGGTCTAGCTAAGCATGCCAAATGTTGGGGGATTTGCATAGAGTTCAACAAAAGGCTGGTTTCTGTTTTTATCTAAAGAAAGTTGGTACAGCATTTCAATGGAGACATGATATAATTGGTCATGCTGACCAATCATGTTGACAAATGATATCTAAAGAAAGTTGCATAGAAGTACGTCTGGTTTTGGACTTCGAGAGTTCTTTTATTTTGAAGAAATTAACACTAAAATCTTTACTTACAAGAGCTTATTGCTTGGCATACATCACGAGAATAATCTTGAAAAATCATTGCATGATAAACAGATTTCTTTGAGGTTTAAAATATAGATTGGGCTATATTATCATGAAAAGGTCATGGCACAAAGTTCAGATGAGATTAGTCTCTTCTACATAGTGCCTATATAGATAATACCCATACAAATCCACAAGCATCACCAAGCCCGCATCCCACACCCAAATCATCAAAAGGCTAAAGCAAGGACTACTGTACCACCCCGAAATAGTATGAAATGAGTGGTACATACCGGTTCAAGCATGGGCCAGTGCATGGACCACCCCCGTTTCAGGTGTCCCGGTTAAAATAATAGAAAAAAAAAGTGGTGGGGCCTGTCCAACTCGGCATTAAAAAAGAAAAAAAATCAAATTAGGGCTCGCAAACACGAGCTCTCTTCTCGCGTACGACGATGCTGCCGCTGTTCCTTCTTCCTAAGCATGCTCCCACCACTTCTTTTCTTCCTTTTCTTCTTCTTTCTTCTCCTCTACTGCTTCTTCTTCTTCCTCCACCGCTTCCTTTTCTTTCTTCTTCCTTCCTCCTTTTTCCTCCTTTGTTCCTCCACCACCCCTTCCTCTTCTCTCTCGTTTTCTTCCTTTGGGAAACACAAGTACATATCGGTGTACTGTGTGTCGGTATACCGGTACTGGCCAATACATACCAATCCGACAAATCGCCAAAATGGGTCCGGTACCCAAAACAGCAAACCTTGGGCTGAAGCATCTTTCTTTTTCTCCTATTTGGTATGTTGTGATCCAACTTGCAAGTAAAATCTCTCCTTTTCTTGTATCTTGTGTGTTGTGCATCAAACTTGCAAGTAACATAGACATGGCACAATGATCTCGGCATGCTGTGTAGTGATCTAAGTGTTACATTCTCAAGAATGTAAAAAACTAAAACAACATATCACCTTCCTGTCCTCTTTCTTCATTTCTTTCTAAAACCTAACAAAAAAAGAAAAAAGCTTCTCATAGAACTCTATGCTGGTGCATCTACGGGAGTTAACATTAACTTGATGGAATTAAAGCCATGCTGAACAATTCTTGAAGATCCTTGGGCTTCCATATTGCCATGCTGA